ACATTCCATAGCTGGAGCAGAACGGAAGAGAGGTGAGTGCTGACTGGCACAGGACCAACAATCAGGTGAGTAATACCGCTCTATGTGCACCCCTAAAAGCACTTAACCCTTGCAGTGGGGCTACCCCTGCACTGTTTTATAACATTCCAGTGTTCTTCTTTAAACAACTCTCCCATCAGAAAACCTACACAGGACAGAATGTGCCCAGTGTCAGACTGTGCCCAGCAGTTTTACACAAATCCCCCTTTGCTTAAGAGGGACCTGTCCTTCGATGGATTATGTAGCTATTGCTGATCTGCTACTGCAAAATGCTCGTTGTCTGGCTATCGGCTCCAACAGTTTGGTGTCACTAACCCTAAACGAGACAGCAACCAGTGAAAACTCCTGATCTGAATGTTGTTCTAGGTCAGTTACACACAGGATTGAAGCAACGGATCAGCATGACTGACAGGCCATAGGCATTTTAAGGAGATCAGCAACAAGTTTTTTCAGCACAAGTTTCCTTGATGAGGACCACAAGCACAAATACAGTTTGCAAACTGAATAGGGTTAGTACCTGTGAGAACAATATTCAGCAGTAACAATATGCAAACTGTGTCGGGGAACTGTATGGGGTTTATACCTGTGATAGCAATAGTAAATATACACAAAAGAGTTGAAGCAACGCATTAGCATGACTGACAGGCAATATGTTTTTTTAGGAGATCATCAACTGAAGCCCGAGTTTCTTTTAGCACAAGTTTGCTTTAAAAGACCACCAGCGTGAATACTACAATCTGGAAACTGGTTTAGAGTTAGTACCTGTGATAAAATTCAGTAAGTGAATTCTTTTTTTTTTCATTTCACATACCACTAATTATATATCTCAATGCAGACCAAGCTGTCCAGCAAAAGTCACTATTATAGGGGTTGGGACAAACCATATAATGTTTCCAATAACCACAACAGTCCCAATACATCTGACATGGGACAGAGAATTAACACTACTCCCCTGGAGCCTCTAAGTAGGAGTCCAATAAGAACCCTAGAAAGCCATTTTCTGGACTTTTTTTTGCAAGCCCCGATCCCGATGAAGGAGGATTTGTTGGCTTCCAAAAGACGTTGGCCGTGGTCTGTTGTCATATTGTCGATTTTGCTTTTAACAATAAAAGTTTGTGGACTCCCAAGTTTGCTGGTTTGGCGCTCGATTTTTCTGTTTCTACATGGATTCTAAATATATTACTTAAATCTTTTCTTCCAAAAGGAAAAACTATTGCTCTAACTGCCTAAAAAAAGAGTTAGCTGGAGTTCAGGGCCGTCTCTAGACCGGGTGACACCCCGCCATGTCGTCATCTCGCGTGCGCGGCCATCTGATTGACGCCTGCCGGTGGCCATCTTGGTGATGGACGCTGCCAGACAGAGGAGGGGACGTTCACCGGGCAGGATGAGGTATGCCGCCGGGTCCCCTCCTCTCTCCTGGCACTGTCGGGCTCTCGGTCCATGACCGAGTGCCCGACTTTTTAGAGGGAGTGACACCAAAATGACTGTCAGTCATTTTGGTGTCATCCCTGCAATGGTGTCACCCGGGTGCGGGCCACACCCCCCGCATCCTCCTTGCGACACCAATGCTGGAGTTGGGCTTTTTATTTGTTTGGCATTTAAACCTACGTGTCCATCTAGGAACACCCTGTCCACAGAGCGAAAATTTCACTGCAGAAGAAACAGCGTTGTCACTCTATTACAGCTAATAGAACAATAAAGATCTACTAGCAGAATGAACAGGTAATAAAACTATGTTACAAGGGGGAACTCAGAAAATCAAAAACTGCTGTTGCTAGTTACAGACTTCATCATATATGTAATTTTTTTTTTTGTGCCCGTAGTTTTACTTTGAGAAAATATTTTCACAAGTGGACATTAACAATCGCCATAGCGACCCAGGCGGCCGCTATGGGGCCCGGCCAGGGCCGCCTGGGTCGCTATGGCATGTGGGGATGCTGGCTGTCACAGACACAGCTCAGCAGCGGCCACGGCGCATTTCCCCTCATAGCCGCTGCGGAGCTGTGTCAGCGACAGCCAGCCGCTGCGGCAGATGAGAGCGGTGTTCGGAAAGGGGGCCCGCCTCCTCTTACATCACTGGCCAGCGACTTAAGAGCAGGTGGGGCCAGTGATGTAAGAGAAGGCGGGGCCCGTCGATAGCAGAGGAGGTGGGGCCCGGAACAGGAGCCCAGCGAGAGGTGCTGACAGGTAAGAGATCTCAGACCCTGCAGAGCCCACTATAGAGAGTCTATGGTGGGCTCTGCAGGGTCACTCTCCGCTGGGGCTCTGCAAGTGGCATAACTAGCAATCACGGGGCCCCATACAAAATTTTGCTATGGGGCCCTGTGATTTCTAGTTACGCCCCTGCATATATCCCTTGTTTTATTTATCCTAATGAACAATTTTACACACGGAGGGGGCGCTCGGTTCCCTTTTGTTTTCTATGTTCATGGTGGAAGCCCCAGAGCCTTGGATGAGCAGCCCCTCAAGTCTGTGTGAAAAACTGTTGATAACTTTGAGTATGCAACAGCAAGCGGATCGTTCAGCTGGCAGCCATTGGTGCCAAGAGTTAAAGACAAAACTTTTTCTCTGAGTGATGATACTGTTTCAGGGGCAGTTCCATGACAGCCTGGGCTCAAGGGAAGAGGTTTAACAATGCTGTTCATTCAACCTAGAAGAACAGGGACATCTAGTGGTGGAAAGGAATTGCTACAGGGGACAGCTCCAGACTGAAAGTGAGTAATGCATCAATTTTATTTTTTATTAACTATTACTGGGCTAACAGCTTTTTTTTTTTTTAGCTGGAGGTCAGGTTTAAACATGTTTTATTTGGTGAATCTCCGACAGTATTTAAATATCATGCTAGGCTTTCTAAAAGAGAGCATATAAGATAAAATGATACCACTATAGTATGTAACAATTACACATCAACCGACATTGACAACGTTGCCAAACTTAATATAAGGTTCTTGTCACACAGTGTCTGCTGTGTTCATACTCTCCTAAATGTATAAATTATATTTTTCTAACAAAGTAAGCCATTTGGCTGATTATCGAATTTTGGTTGGAGTATAACTTCTTTTTCCACCTCACTGCTTCTTACAGAGGTGGTATTTCTACATTTCTAAAAGAGAGCCCAGCACGGACTGCAAGCTTTTTGGAAACACCTGAAATGGAAAATTTGCCATCTCAGGTATCGGTGGGGAGGGAACGGTGTCCCTTCTGGTCTATAAATAACAGCCCTCAGAGATAACAAAGCCTGCATAAGGTATAGTGGTAGATGTGATATATTATGTGTTAGTGTTGACTGCAGGACACAGCAGACCTTCGATGTATAGGATCTGCCTCTAGGGGGGTGAGCACCAAGCTAAAGTCAAAGGCCTTTGCTCCTCCCGTGTGAACTACATCGCTCTGCACAGACATCAAGTGCTTAGTTTCTGCTTCATGTGCTTGAAGGTAGGACATTTTAGTGTGTTCTCTCAAAGCATGTTTTGAATATTGATGATTTTGAAAGAAAATTAATGATTCCAGGATGAGCGGAATGAGTAGCTAGATAGCGGCGTGACAGGCAGCTTGCGTAACTGTGTTTCTGGGATCGCTTGTGCTGGGAATATTACTTGTTTGGCGTTGGCATGCAGAGTTATCACTCATCGTCATCTTTTTAAGTTTAAAAAAAATAAAAAAATCTTGAAGTCATAGCAAATGGAGTCTGCTTCCATGTATGCTGCTTACCCGAATCCCAACAGCTCTCTGCAAGTCTCATGGATTACGCTCAGCTTTTCACAACCTTTTTACCCTATTAGACCTTTGAAATAATTTTCAGGTCTCAAGAAGCCCTGCTAAAATTAATACCATGGGGGTCAGTGGAAACAATGCTCCCCCTCCCCTTAGGTAGTCAGCAGAAAGTATGCCCCCTTGCTTTGGTTAGAATGCCCACCCGTGCATTGGTGGTCAGTGGAAAGAATACGTCCAG